GTGCAGTGAACCCCTCCCCCTCAAAGAAAACTTGCTCTCACCTGTATATGTCTGCGTTTCTTTATTCAACCACAGGGAATATCAGCATTCTATTCTTTTGATTTCAGATAATTGCTGTGGTAAATACAGTTTAAAAGCAGCTGTAGAAGACGGGTGTAGATTTGGGTATGGAAAGTAGGGCTATGTCCTTATCCCTACCAACACTTTGTGAATTTCGTGTGTGTTTTGGGGGCAGGGATTTCGGGGCTGATTTGGTCTCTACCAATGCTGCAACCAAACCAACACCCTGAGTTTAAATTAATGAAATGGTAAAAGGTTAATATAAAGGAGTACATACTAAATACATGTTGATTGTAAAAGGTTAATATAAAGGAGTACATACTAAATACATGTTGATTGTAAAAGGTTAATATAAAGTAGTACATACTAAATACATGTTGATGGTAAAAGGTTAATATAAAGTAGTACATACTAAATACATGTTGATGGTAAAAGGTTAATATAAAGGTGTACATACTAAATATATGTTGGACATTTAAGATGTATGTTCTGCTTAAGATCAAGCGATTCAGCAGAAATTTTTCATTACAAACTTTGAGCTAAACCTATATATTTGGTTTCCATATTTATCTACATTTTATAACTTAAGATCTAATGTTAATTTTTTTTCTCCACATAGATGTTCTCTGGTTCTGAAATGTACTAAAGCAGATGTAGTATTTATGCTGTGCTTTTAATCAGAGTGTCAGAGTAGCTAGCTAATAGCTCAGAGGGTATATGACAGAGGGCGGAGTCTTTAGCTTCTTTGGGTACTTTTGTAGCGACGTGAGAGGCTGCGGGTGACAGAGGAATGACTGTGTATTTCTTTTGTATGTTTTCAATTTCTTTTAAGAAAACGATTGCTGTTGAAAATGCACACACATCCTCTGTACCACACCAAACTACTCCTGTAATTCATGTTCAACCAGAGACATAGCTAAAAATTCTGGGCCCCATAACAAAATGCCACCTTGGGCCCCCCTGCGTGGCTTTATGCCCCCCCCCCCCTCCCCGGAGCGATATAATTTGCCAGCCGTGGTAGGGGAGTCCCCTTGGTAAAATTTCGCATTTATCGTATATTGCACAATGTGTAATGTAACTAACTTATTATTTGATGTACTCAAGGGCTCCAGTAGTGCCAGAGAATCCATGCCCCTCCACCGCCCCTGGCAGCGGTCAAAACTTCTCCCAGATGGTGGAGCAGCTGAAGGAGGGCGTACGCCACTGGAACCACGTGGTCTTGGAGGACCCGTGTACTTGCACGGTCTTCATAAACCCGAGAACACTGGATTACCGGGATAGAACTCCGAACAAGTGGGAATGGCTGCAGTTTTTTAAATCATCAAAGCTGATTTCATGCGCACGCTCGTATTCGGGGTTAATTATTCTCCCTTCCTGCAGACTTAGTGGGGTGCTTTAGTGCTGGGGGGTGGGTGACTAGTTAGTTCTTAGTTCCTTTGCAGGGTTTATGGAGAGATTTACCTTTGTATGCTTTTTAGCTAACTACACAATGGCTTAATATTTAAACATCCGTATTTTTTTTTTTTCCCCCCAACAAACATCATTAGTAAATGGGATACAGGATTTATTACAGCCATGTCTAGCATTAGCTCACTCCCAGTGCAAACATTTTAGTATTTTTAAATGTTATGATGTATGCCGTGTATGACCCAAGATTTATGGAAGCAATTAAGGTGAATTTCAGTGCTTGAGACAGACTGATTGTTTGTGTATTTTGCAAATTTATATTTGACATACCAAAGTGAGTAGTGACTAGTGTTTAGGAGACAATTTCACCTTGCCAATAACACACAATGTGGTCTGATATATAGAATATCCATTCTGTGTGTCCGTACATTGTCTGTCTTGTTCCTCAAGTTGATGGTTGTGGTATTCATAGGTAATCTTACTTAAAACTGCTTAATTCTAATCGAACGTATACATTGCACTTTTTGTGCCGAGTTACATGATTTTGCATGCATAGGTAATTAAATAGTATGATTTACTGCGGTTTTTACTGTTTTCTATAGACTGTGGCGGCCCTGTTCGCAGACCCTGATTGCACTGAGTAATATTTTGGAACGCAATCTAATTGAGGAGGCTATGGAGAACGTGGCGGAAATTAAAAGCTCATAGAATGTCCCGGAAAGGGAAAATTGCAAACCATAAGTACGGCCATTCACCGGAATAATAAAAAAAGGAATGTGTGGTGTATATGGTGGAAGTGTCCAGCTTTTTAGTCCGTGGCAGTGAGGGGACATGGAGAGAATCCAGTGGAGAGCTCACTGGGGATTCAGTGCCGAAAACTGGGATCGGGGCCTCCTGCCCACTCACAGGGGGCTGGGGCTGCGCCCCCGTGATTGGCCGTGTCGCCCGGGTGAAAGGTGAACCTTTCACACCCCTACTTTAGTTTTGACACAGGTGCACTGGAGCAGACTCTCCCTGTGTCTTTGTACCTGGCAACTAGGGGTAATATAATGGAAGCGAAAAGGTGGTTGCGGAAATTGAGGGGGGAGGGGGGGGGGTTTAACTGCTTGGGTCATGGGCCAGCATGGTGACTGAGGACGGAGACTCAGGACGGGGAGTGTGTCCCGGCAGGGCTGGGCTGCAAAACATCTCAAAGCCCTGGTCACGCGAATGACCTGCCCCAGTAAATATCCGGCTGAATAAGCTGGTAGGGCTGTTAAAAAAAAAAAGAGAAGCCATAATGCCAGGGGAATTCAATTTGATTAATAATGCTTGACTGTTAGAAAGAGGGGAAATAAGTCCAGCGCTGAGGCGTGTAGCTAATTTTCGGAGTTACTGGCCGTTTCGCTGTCCGTGTTTATAGAATTAACGCAACAGCACGTGTTTTCTCCCTTATGCAGTTATGTAACATTGCGTATGCCATCATTTTTTCCCTACCCTGTACATTCTTTAATTTTTGTAGTTTTTTTTTCCCCTTAACTCTTTTAAAACTGTTTCTGGAGCGTAAGTACTGATATTAGGCCATAATTCCTCTTTTGACGTGTAGCGAAATCTATTGTCATGGTATTTTTGCGAGATACACAGTGGCGTCTATATCAGAGAGAGACAGAAATTACGTTGCAGTCATGCAATACGATCTTTTTAGATGTGTTAGTATGTTATCAGGTTGACAAGGTCATAAAACGGATAAGGGAGGTGTATGTTATAATGGATAACTGCAATAATAATAGTTTAATGGGTCACTGCTCTAGATATGGGAAAGGCGAGCGGCAATAGAGATGCGCCGTTTGCGAGCCAGGCGTGAAGGTCACGAATACGATGGCACCCTTTGCACGTTTCTTAAAACTAAGACGTAAAAACGACGCATTTTATATAGCATTTTAAAACCATATTAGTAGACCTGAAGTAAATGTCAGGTGCACTCGCTGACCTGCCGCAGTCCAGAACAGGAGTCTCCACGTGAACCGCAGTGGTTTACTAAATTTTCTTTATAGCCATTAGATCACGTAAGAAAAACAGGGCATTTCAACGGTTCACTGACGGGAACAAAAAAAAAGTCCCCGGCTATGGTTCTTGGCGTCTGCGGCTCAGGTCGGCGTCAAACCGCAAACCCTGCAAAACGAATTTGGTCATGATGTACTGTAAAATATTCAGCGCGACTATTTATAACATGGATGGATCACTGCGAGATGTGAAATATTCTGTCATTCTGCTTGAACGTGCGGATCTAATAGACGTTAAATTATGTTTATCCGTAGACTTACACTTTTGGGACCGGGACAACCGGACGCAAGTCGATTTGGCCGTATCTCGATAGTTATAGGATAGAGGCAAGTCATCAAATACAGTACTGTAATACACACACAGTACTATACAGGAAATAATAATGTAAATACACAATCACAACATTTTATAACAAAAGGCGATACACCGGCTAACGTCCTACTACGTCCAGTTTCAGGCGTCGCTCCATCCTTGTGTGTTATTTACTGTGGATTTCGGACGTAACTCAACAGGGCGTAAGTCGACGGACAGACACCTGTTTTTAAAATATGTAGCCTATCGCATTAATTTCGAATGGGAAAAATTATTTTATAATATTTTATTTTACAGTTCAGTTTTTAATTAGGTGGGAAAATTTAAGCGACCTGGAATTTTTCTGATACCATGCATCTTCAGTAATAGAGATACAAAGAGACACGTTTTCTGTAAGTCTATAGAATCCGAATGCTACAGCCGATCACGTAAAACGAAAGGCTTGAACAAAAAAACGTATATTTTCTCTACCCTTGCTCAATAGCTCGAAGTGTGGTTTAGTCTTACACCAGATGCCTGTCGATAAATACTCAAATATTTCAGACAATAATAAAAATTACAGTATCGCCAGTGTCATAAGGTTCCGTTTTCCACTCAAGTATTATCTTATTTAAAACACTAGGCTAATGCCTCATATTTTGTGACGGCATTGAAATTATTTTCTAAAGGAATTGACTGTTGCAACATAATTAACTTTTATTTAAAATGATTCAGCTGTTGTCACGAAAACAAGGTCATGTGACTTAGAAAAGTTATTTGACCGTTTCGGTTTAATATAGGTATTGTTTTTATTTATTGGTTTGTGTTTACGGTACAAACTCGCCAATAGCGCAAAATACAAAACGAGCAACAGTTCAGAGGTAATTGTATTAAGTGTCCAATAATCATCTTTTAAATAAATATTAGGCCTGTCAAATCAACGGCTTTTAATAAACCAAAGGTCACTATTGTTACAATAGTAATAGCATCTTTACATTGTAAAAATAGGCGTAATTGGTAACGAAAAACAAATGTTACTTATAACTGATTTTCTCAGCGGTGTCAGCAGAAACCGATTTATACCTTTATTATGTAGCATATTTTAAAATTAGCTGTTTTAAGATGGCATTAATTTTTCAGGTGGTTTAATTGTGATGCACGGAAAACGCAATGGTACCTTTAAAATGAATATCTGGAAAATCGGCCCTTCGCCTGAACTTTATTAAAACATTCTGTATTGCAATAAACATGTTGATAATTTCCATTCACCTTTTTGGATACAGAATAATCGATTTGCTTATTTCTCCTCTTACAATAATATCAGTTTGTACAAATCACGTTGCACTGGAGTGAAGCATGCGTTTTTTTCTATTAAGACAAGCAAAGAAATAAAAAAATACGTCAAACCAAGCGCTGGAAGTTGTTCCACAAATACATGACGCCGGCTGCTTCGTAAAATGTGCGCTTTCTGCACGTAAAAAACACACACACAGACACAAAGGGGAAGTATAAAAATTTACATACAACAGTTAATTTCTTTTACCATGTTATATCCGTTAAAGATTTAAGTTTGTTTATTAATTTTCCCCGTCCAACAATGATAGCAAGATTCAAATAGTTTAAGTCTTCAAAGCAAGCAAGCTAAAGGTCGACAATTGTTCCTTTTTCCGTATTTACAATGTGACAATGTAACAAATGTCTTCACTATGAAATCCAAAACATGGATATTTTGTTGTGCAAGTTTATAAGTAATCACATAAAACCCGCATAATCCATTTAAAACGACTGCAACCAATCCAGTTGTCGGTTTGTGCCATCCGCAGGTCCGCTTGTGATGTTTAATTTTGTCTAAAACGTCAACTGTTGTACTGACAGGCGTTTAGGCCCGAACCTGGACTTTGCAGGCCACTGTATCCAAAAGTAGGGTGCTGCTTAGATTTCAGTCTCAGCGTGGCCAGGCTGGAGTTACAAGTGTCCCGATACACGCTGTAAGAGGAACCAGGTGGTCCGTAAGGGCAGGTGGACGAAGACATGGCCGAATTGATCGAGGAGCCGCTTATGCCATTAAGATTGCTGATGTTGTTCAGGCCGGATGCAGGCATGCCGGGCACGGCGGAGTGACCCATGCCGGAAGCCATGCTCATGGAAGAGATGGAGTTCGGCGCCGAGAACATGGATTGGGAAGTCAGCGGGCTCATGGAGTTGAAGAATGGAAAGTTTTTCGTGGACAGCGGGGCGGGAGCCAGTGCCTTATTCGTCCAGTTGTTATACGTGTACGCCGGGTACATGTCTTCGTAAGGCTGCATCAGACCGCTGAACTGCGGCAGGTAGCTGTTTTTGCACAAGTCCATCTGCTGGTTGCGCTCCCGTTTCCTCCATTTCGCCCTGCGGTTTTTAAACCACACCTATGCGACACACAAAATTCGTATTAATAATTTACTTAATATGGGATCCATTGTGTCGATGTATCACAGACCCAGTGTGTGCATTTTCATAAATAAACACGGGGGCAGTACTTATAGGCGATGGCAAAAGTCGCCTAATAAATCTATGTAATGTGTTACAAAATTTAATTGGATACAATGAGCACCCCCCACCCCATTTTCAAAAGCCAGAAGTCACAGTCAAAATACAAAAACTTTAGTTATGATAGATTTTTTTTTTGCAAAAATTTAAACTTGTTAGTGTTAACTTTCCATTTTACCGCATTTAAAACCGGGCATGCAACGCTTCCTTGAAGCACGTAAAATTCTGTATGTAATATTATATACACATATGTAATATACATATAATAGTTTCTATACGTGGCTTTCTGACTAATGTAATTACTATTTTAAATCATTTAAAAGTACACCCTTTTTAAACGGATTACACGATGTGTGTTAATGTACAGTGTAGGCTAATTATATAAAATCTGGTAAATGATTCTTTAGCATTACATTTGCATGTTATTTTAATTCGGTGATCATGAGTAGAATGCCGCGGTTTTAAAAGCAGTTTACATAAATGCATTTTATTCCGCAGGCAAATTTACAGCGCAGAACAATTAGGGCCTAGTTGAACGAATACGCAATTAAAGCGCAACTGATACAATCAAGACTAGAACTCTTTCACCGGGCCACTATAGGCCTGTCTACTTAAAAGATTTGATCCAATGATTATCTGTTGTAATCGTCCCAAATACTATTTGCTTCTTAAATCTGTAGTGGCAACGTAAATAAATTCTGAAAACGAACAGCATAAGTGGCGATAAAATTGTACGCCGTCTTTTTAAACTTTATTTATAATTTATATAGGCCCACATTAAAATTTGCAACCATAAGCCTACTTAATGTTGATGCAGCTGCATGCTCTTGAATGAAAAACTAAGTCCATGTAACATATTTTAATACTAACAGGCCTACCTTCCATATATGGTATATGCCATTTCCGCAGTTCATATAGTAATATATTTCACTGCTGCTAAGTTCAGAATCAGAATTTCCGACATATTTGGTCCGAGGAATTCACCACTGTCTACAACACGGTTTATATAGCAGGCCGAAATCAACGGAATTGTGGCGTTGCAGATCGTACAGACTAGAAAATGGATTTGTTTTAGACTTCCCTGGGCCGCAGAATCATGTTAAACATACGATTAGCGGAGCCTTACCCGAACTCTGGCCTCGGTGAGATTAGTCCACACGGCTATCTCCTCTCTGGTGCTCATGTCCGGGTACCGGTTTCGCTGAAATGTGGCTTCCAACTCTTGCAGCTGCTGGCTGGTGAAATGCGTCCTCTGTCGCCGCTGTTTCTTCTTTTTGGGGTCCTCGGCCGTTCCATCATCGCTTCTGTGCTCTGCGAGCCTTTCCTTGTCTAAGAAACAGACGTACTCTCGCTGTTTATTTCACTCCGATTACAGTTCTCATATATAATCGCACCTTTACTGAGAAGTAACTACACTGTACTCCGTTTGCAAAAAGTAGGCCTATATTCTGAGCAGCGGTCAAAATGACTGTTTCCATTTTATTAAATACCAGGGTGGCGATTTCTGCATAGCAGACAAACATGCAAAATACGCCATTAAGAAAATAACATAGGGGGACAATAAAAGCAATTCAACATAACCGTGTTGCAAAACACGGTGAGATTGTGACAGTTTCTTAAATATGAACAGATTTACAGACCTCGGACACAGCATCGCTTGAGTGGAGCTAATGTTGTTGTTTTTGACTTTAATTTACCTATTAAATGTCAATATACAATTTAAAGTGATACCGTGTAACTTAAGCAATGATTAAAGTTACTTTGCTTGTCATGTGCTGTTTATTGCTTTGTATTTATCCAAAAGTTGATTCAGATAAACAGAAAAAAAATCGTAAATACCTAAACAGAAAGTCTACTTGCATAAATAACTTGATTGGTTTAAATTAAGTATGCATTTTGCAAAGTTTTGTACATATTTTCAAGCGACGTGTATTATCATTACTCATAATTCCACTTGTGAAAATGTTACTTATAATAATATTCCCTGACTACACGATTTTGCAACAACATTTATTGTTCATTTTCTGTATGTTTTAAAAATAATGTGGTATTTATGTTTTCAATGTATGTATTTTTAATATTACATATTATTTTATTCAAATAATAATTTGTGGACAGTGTTTCAAATAATAAATTTACTCGTGTTTTGCATTAGTAGGCCCCTTGACTGCTGGTCTCTTAATAATAGGCTACAATGATACTTTAGTGTGAGACATACCTGTCCTGCATGCATAGATAATATATGTTAGTATTTCCGCAGCATTGCGGATAACTCATAGAAATTCGACAAGGAGTAATAATCGGATGATGACCGTACCTGCAATTTCAGTATCTGACGATTCGCTGCTGGAGTTATCTAACGTTTCGCGTTTGCTGCTGGAAGTCCTGGGCAAGTGGAAGGTGGAAGCCATGTCGCGCGCCGGCTGGGGTCTTACAGCCTCGGAGATTCTGTCCAAGTTCATACCACCTTAATGAAAGGATGATGCTGCATTAAAAAGCAGGCTCGCTGTGAATATTCTAGCTTAACTTTTTTATTTAGAAACTCATCTAAACAGGCGATTGAAAAAAAATCTTCTCGAATACGGTCGTTGTAGCGAGGGCAACTTGAATTTTATTTTCGCATCGATTTCCGTCCGACTTTCGCCGGCGAACGTAATTAATTCGTACAGCAATGACGGCAAGTACACTTCCAGTTTGTGTTGCGGAGAGAATGGGCTCATCCCTTCAGAGTTAAAGCTGTCTAGCAGGAAAACCAGCGTAGATCCACCCATTTTTCCTATTAAACCTCCCCTATCGCAGAGGAGGGGGTCCCACCCACAAACTACGATCAGTCTAATCCGTCTGCAGGCAAGAGCACTTTTTGGATTTGTCACAGAGGAACACAAGAGCGAGCACCGCTTTACGTTACTTGTGAAACTCCCGAAGAAAATGGGCCTTTTATTCGGGCATGTTTGAAATAAGCCTAAGCGAAGTGCTACGGGCAGCTGGGCGCGCTTGTATACACACGCACACAATGTATATTCGGATACGAGCTGAATCGAATAAACACTTGCCGTGACCTGCCTTGCTATGTTTCGATGTAAAAACATTTCGTGTAAAATACAGTAATTTATACCCTAGTTTAGACTGAGAACGGGAAAAAAAAATCTTGCCTGGAAAAAGTAGTCTGTATCCATTAGTGCAATTTCGTGAAATGGCGAATAAACGACGTCTTGCAATTGACGAGTTAGCATAATATTTTATCTATCACAGTTAAGAATATAATTGGTCAGTAATAAATTGTAACTGGCCATGTTTTAATGGTTGACCACTTTCCTGGCTCTCCGACACACACACACACACACACACACACACACACACACACACACACACACACACACAGGCGCCCACCCACCCTCAGTATACGGGCGTTAGATTGATCATGATCCATGCAGAAAACACGCCGGCCTCCTTGCCTTGCCTCGCGCTCTTTCTCCAGCTGTAATTACAGTCCTGGAGCAGCACGCAGTAATTANACACACACACACACACACACACACACACACACACACACACACAGGCGCCCACCCACCCTCAGTATACGGGCGTTAGATTGAGGTATACGTTCCATTGTTTCCAGTAGTAAAAGGTGACCTGCCAATCATGTGTCCATCAGCCTAAGCAATCATAATGAATGCTACTCAGATTTTCTCCCCAAAAGACAATATCTGCGAATTTCGTTCACTTCAGAAAATTAAGCTTTTTAGGAAACCACTTGTTAAGAAATAACTTTATGTCTGACCACAATTTCGCCTTAGCTCGCAAATAATTATCTAAATAAAAGTAGTGATTTTAGTAGTCATATATATTTGAAATAATAAAAAAATAATTAAAATCATTGGTTCTTTTGGCGCCTCTTTTGCCCCACTAAGCTAATATTCACAGTCCAGAATAGTCATACGAGTCGAATAGTTAAACTTCGATTCAATTTAATTACAATTTTAAATGTATAATTGTCACATTGTTATCATTTTTAAAATAGCCATTTTCCTAAATATGTAACATTGTGGACACTAATAATTGTGTGCGGGATTTCATAGCTATACATTGGGAACATGCCTGTTGTAGGATATTGTATTTATATAGTATTTTTATACCGATTGTAAAAGAATTAAACTTAACGAATTTCCCGCAAATGTTGTTACTTTGGTGTTGTTTTTGTTTCACCTACATATACAGATGATGGGATACTTTCGTTAATTTTAACCACAGCCCAAATCACCTTACCAACCTTACCAGAAGAACGTTAAACTTATTAATACTTAAAGCAAAAGGTATTTATTTAATCAAAATTACAACTGTGAGCGTATAGTTTACATAATCTCAATTTACAGAACGTTAATGCCAACGTAAAATTTCCTTTGAATTAAAACCTGCACCTATATACGTAAAGTCTGTAACTGTAAGTAAAGAAACCCAAATTTGCCTGAATCTGATCTGCGTTCTGAAAGTCTAAAGACAAAAAAATAAAGGTGCAGTTGTACACTTCAATTCTGAATTATTCGTTTTTATATTCCCTTACTGAGCTTAATTTGAAACAGCGGCTCCTGCTGGTGGGAAATCATTGTAAAATGTAGTCGTTATCAAAGAATGCCAAACTAGGGATAATTTTTGTGCACGTTACGCGAAAAACGCACAATTTTGCTTCCCTTGTGGTACAAAATCTATACATCTCCCAGCTGTGCTTTAATACAACATTTTATTGCAACCTACGTTCGCTATATTTGTCAAATTATAGGAATATTTAGTGAACTGTTTTAATAAAATTGCATTTAAAAAAGTCAATTTTCAGTCCTTATTTATATAAACCCATTCTTAAATTTTAATGACCTTTCCTCCGCCTTTCAGAGAATTTTATTTTAAATTGAAACAATGTTCGAAATAATTACAAAACGACAAGGCCGTTCATTAGGTTATCTATTATATGCATGTACATTTTACGCGACTGTTCTATCCAAGGCGACTTAAAGTAGAGAGATCGGTTGTAATTTATTTGCATCTTTTGAGATTTGAACCAACGGCCTCTGAATTAGCGCAATGCGCTCGTTGAGCTACCAAATTCACTATGTAGTGATTATTCTTTATTATATAGGCCTATTCTTATTTGCAAATAAATATGTAACAATCATGCTGCCGATCAACATGTACTCGGTTAGTTTTTATGTGTCAATGGATTTTTTTGTTTTATAAAAGAAATAGCGCCGTTTTTTTTTTTTTGAATACCAGTGAGATCATTTGGTTGTGTCACCTTAGAGATGATTTTGCGGCGATAACATTTGACATTGAGTTTTATTTAACCAGAAGGAAACCTTGAAGCAAATCTACGGTTCAGCACGTTAGCCATCGCTGACACGTATGGGGGAGGTAAAGGTCATGACCCCACAATATTCTCCTACCTTAGATAACTTTTTACTTACGTTTCAAAATGTATTATTACTTAAAGATTAAATCATTAGAAAACTGACAAGAAAATTACCAACGTATTAGCTTCAGGACACGCACACAAGATTTCATTTAATTATTGGTTAATTAACATGTCTACGTAGTACAGAATAAATTATTTTCATCCTGCAAGGCGCGCTTTCGGGGTAAATTCTTCGCTTTATTTCTAAACTGTCCTATAGAAACAACGAAGCAAGTACATTTATTATTATAAATTTAGTTATTGATAATCGAACTTTGCTATTTGTCAATGTTTTCTATGTCAGTTTGATCAAACAAAACACTTTCTAAATGCTATTAAAACATCCACAGGACATTTTTATTCCCGATTTACGTGTCTTTCGCTGTCGAACTTTTACATTAACGTTGTGTTCTACGTTATAATTTCCCCAATTAACGAATTGGCCTGCAATTTTTCAGTCTATGAAAAATACAAACAACTCCGCATTGTCAAACGTATAGAAGTACATCACTGGCAAATCTAGTTTGTAACATTAGTTATACTAATATATTGTTAAACACAGAATTTACGTATACCGTCGCCGAACGATGCTTTTCCTGTTATTTTGCTAAACGACCGTATGTTCAGTTCGCGTAATTTTTATACTTTAGCACCAAAGATTTACAGTCCCGAAATTTATCCATATAGTAAAAAAGGGGATTGAATATATTCTTTTAATTATTATTGAAATGTCACAAGTAAAATACTGTTGTGTGTTTAGTGTCTACAGGTCTAGTAGGACATGACACTAATGCATGCACCATATTCAAAGATAACTGTACAAAACCACATCCAGTTGTAATTTTGGTTTCAAGAATAAGGCTTAATTGCTACTCTTGTACGAGCCCAAGTAAATAAACGCAAACGTCAGCCGTATCAATAAATTTATTCAAGTCTAAGGGATGTCTTTTACTGTGTGCAGGAACAACACCCTGTGAAATCTACTGGCTCCTGTGATTATAATTTGGAATGGAACACGTATGTGTTTAAAACGATTAAAGTAAGATTATGAAATACCACACATTTCATTATGAAAGTGTCACCCCATCATATAACAGAGATTAGCAAATAACAGCAGATGGGTTTCGATAATACGGTTCCTTCTAGAGAAGGAGCTTTGCCTTTGATCCTCTGTGTCGTGATAAAGGCGGTCTGACTGTCTCCGCTCCAGCAGCCGACGCTTCACTTGTATCTCCGCTAACCTTTTCGACGGTCGTGTTAATTAATTATAGCGGTCGGATCAGTTCTTATGATCAGCTGCGACAGCAGCAGAGATCTGGCAGGTGGCGTTAACTTGACAGATGTTAACTAGCTTAGACTCCTGTAATTCTATTCGGTCGTTTAAAAATAAACCTTTCTGTAAATGCTTTGCTCATTTACTGTGGTCGCCCATATTTAAGGTTTACAGTAAAACGCATGCTTATGAGTTTTCCTTACACCGCTATTTGACAACGACCATTACGTATGCCAATGATGACACTGTTTATAGTCATCATTATGCAGGCTATGAAATCAAGCGAATAGCCATTATTTATTCACCTGTTTACCGTTCTTGCCCCCGTGTCCCATTAGGTCAAAACAGAAAAAACAAAGCTCATAAAATCTACATAACTTTATACCAAGGGCATACACAGACGTTTTGGCCGGACCTTGTAAAAGCGGGTTTTATTTAATGTGGTTAGTTTTTCAGAAGGACGGATCGCATTGCAGAGAACCAGCATTTGGTTTAGGAAAAGATGATGCTGTTCGAGATTTAATGTCAATAAACATGTTTCGTATTAAATTAAACAACTCACGTTGTTTTTCGTTAGGATCACACATGGCGTCGCATGCGATTTTATTTCATTAAACTTTTTTTGATTCTCCCCCCCTTATTCCCTTTCCAGTCTTTAGCTAAAGACAAACTAACAATAGCTAGCGTATTTGTGCTGGAAATAAAATCAAACAAACATGCCCCACAACCCGAGCGTAATTCCAGATGGTCAGTAGCCGGCTTAAGTTTAATGCTTTCATGTTCTGCTGAAGATTCCTGTATCTTTGGGAGCCAGGACCTCTCTGATAGGTCTGATACACCTCCGAACTTGTAATACAGCGAAGGCCGAAATATGGGACATGCAAGCCGTTGGTAAGTAGGTCTACATGTTAGAGACGTATCCGACTGACACAACCGAGTTATTAGGCAAAGACTGTACTGTTAGTCTAACATAGGAACTTTTCTAACTTAGCGTAGCGACGGATCATGCATTCATAATTGAAATCTTATAGTTTTAGGCAAGGAACTTAAACAAACGGGAAAACACACGAACAACGTATCAGCAACGGCAGAACACAATGGGAAAACATGTCTAAAACTGAATAACATTATGCTACCAGACTGGCATTTATAATAGGCCTACATTTAACTTAAACATAATGATGTCAACACATTTAGTAAAGCACTAAAGATACGTGTTTAACAACTGATCAGACTACAAATACTAAAGAAGTTATGATTATTTTTTATTTGCGGCCTTGTGCATGGCAAATGGTGAAGGTACACAACAAACAAAAAGACCACACCGTCAACGCCTGCATCTGAAAAAGGGTATATATTTCGGTTGCGTGGTGCATAGTGTGTAGTAAGATGACACAAAATAACAGTTAAACATGCTGTAATACCTGTATCCCCGCAAGAGATTATATTCTTAGACAAATTTAGTTCCATTCCAAATGCCTGTAACACAGAATAACATCAGTTATTTGCCATCAACATAGCATCGCTTACACGCCTTCGGTATCAGCTCCGGTCGTTATTTTGAATCACAAAGACAGCATTGAAATGTAGGGAAATAAACACCACAAAGATTCATATACTATAGATACATCTATTTGGCAATCATCAAGACCGATCAATACACTTTAGGAGTATATATGTTTTTTTCCATTCTATCTAAAAAATACAATAATGTGCTATAATTGGTGCATGAATCAACAGTTAGAAACTTCCCAGCTAAATATTAACTTTAAAAAAGGATAAATTGCACTCTTGGTGTGATTACTTCCTGATTTTACCCCAGCGAATTAGTCGGTTTGGTATGGGGTTTCTTTAGTTTAAATGCAGATAATATAAGCCTTGCCTGTTTATCTTTTCGTAACATATTCACGCAACTTCTCTTATCTGTAGGAATCCCTGTGCTTGTTTAATGTCGACAATAAATCGCGACTCTACGCTGCTGCTCCCTGCTTCAATCACACACGCGCATACACCCGCGCTGCTGCTGTATAAACACAAAAAGCTCTTTGAATCTGTTTCATCTACTTCTGACACTTGACTTTTGACATCAAATATGGTTTAGTGGGCCTTAAAGATAGACAAAAGAGACATACATTTCTGGTCGCATTTACATTTATATATTTAAAAGCACTCATTTACCAAAGCAAGTTTCAGATGGCTGTATTAATAACGACGACTGTACATATAATCTAAATAGAATACACTCGTAAGTAGTGGGCCGGAACACGTTACGGTTTTAAAAACAAATTAATTTACAATAGATTGTTTTACAGCAACCAAACAAAGGCTTTTTACGTGATATTTTTTCTTGTTTTCCGCGTTATTTCTAAGACCTTTCTGAAATTCATTATCAGAATTACTAAAAATGACGAAAGACGTTACTGTTCTTTGCCATAAAATTACATTTTGGTTGCGACAAAACGAGAATTTCAGTTCGCACGTTGATCCCCTGTTGTCTAGTTTACTTAGCGCCGGGGCTTAACTAAGACATCAACAGATATGGAATAAAACATAAACTGTAGTCGAAGGTGTCTTGTATAATGAGGTACATTATCGAGTTAATTACCTATATTCTCATTAATCCATCTCTCTATGTTCTTAAGAAGCACGATCTTTTGTGCAAGAAATTATTTACTTAACAACCGGAGTCCTTCGCCGGACTCTTCACTCTCCCCGCGGTTGACTTTGATACTAAGGTAAATATCAAGCCATGAAATTGCTGCGCCAGGACAATCTGATACATGGATAAAGTTATCTGATTCCCATATTTCAAATCTAATACATTTTCAATCTAAATGATGTCAATATGGTATTCAAGCCTTAACTTATGGCAGTCGTTACCTCCGCGCCCAGCCTGAACGACACCAGCTGAATTATCACCTTCAATTCGTTAGATTTTCTACGGCGTTTAAATATACGGGCAACTTACCCGATAGTTCCCACCACAGAGAATTGATGTTAGAAATTTGCTTTCCCCATGCAGGTGTTAAATAGATCCAGTGACGCGCAGATACGTGCCGGACTGATCTATGCTCTTTAATGCAGCGCCAGTGCTGTACGGGGTTTTCTTTACAAGCTGACTCTCGCGCTCCAGTGACGTCACGCGGGCAATTCCCTTCTGCGTCCCCTTTACCGGCTGGTAATATGTTGCAAGTCTATGTTCCAACAAGTATCGTTTTAAAGGCTATGAACATTTTGAACGTTGTTTTCACTATTAAACTATAACTCTATATAATACTATAGCATCTAATAGCTACAGAACAAAAGTGTTTTGTATAAACACACACACGCACGCACACACACATATGCATATACATTTTTTTGCACAGATTCTCATGCATAGGTTGGCTTATGGAAAATTCAGTCTATCTACAGACTATATTTGGGGTTATTTGTATTTAATGGACGTAACACATTAAAGTGTCAGAATAATATCTGATGAACGGATATGAAAATATTATTTTAACTATACTAAGCGCCCACATACACGAGTGTGTTCATTGCATCATATAATTTCTTAGTGTCCATCTATACAAATGTCCAAAGGTACTTTTGTGTAACCTTGATTTCCCTATGAATTCAAATTACATAACATTATATATGTACATACATATATAACACATAACAGGCTCATTTTATAACGTGCTTCTAATTATAGTTTACAAAATATATCATGTGTCACGTTTGACCCGCTTTACTGATATGAAAATACTATGTCTTTTGGTCTAAGTCTCATATCAGTGTATCTGTTCTGCATCCATTGAATGTTACGCTTTATTCACCCGTTGCGCATGAATTGAGAGGTAAAAAATAACTGTTTGATTATCAATTACTGAAACAAGAGCTGGAACAACCGCAATATCATTCACTGACCGACTAAACCCGTTGAGTCGGAACACTCTTTATGCATTTGAGATAACACTTCTAAATAAGTGACCATGTATTTCATGTTAGAATGCAGTTAAAAACGCAAAAATCTGAGCAGTAAAAGGTAAAATAACCGCCTGAATTAAAGTTTGCAAATCTTTCGACAAATCCAGTCGTCTTTAAAAAAACAAAAATGCATTTATTATAAGGACTACAAAATCGAATGCTCCCCTTTTATTGCTCATACTGTTTATGAGATATGATAATTTGTTTCGGAAATGTAGGCTGCGTAAATGCAGTATCATATTAAATCACATTAATGAAACGTATATGGAACACTGACGATAAGTAGTCTGTATTATAGTTTTCATTTGGAGCCATTCCCTAATAAATATATTATTAAATTAATAGAATATAATTTATGTAATCCATGAGAGAAAATTTGGGAAATTTCAGAAGTGTATTATGGGGAAATTAAACGCCAATTTCAGTGCTTAAAACAGTTACTTTTTGATTTTTAATTAATATATTTTATTTATATATTTATTTAAACAAACGCCTTATAAAACAATATGCACGATTTATCGTGGCCGCACAACACAAAACTTTCCAAGTAAGTTATATAAAACCACGGAACTTACTTTTAATTGACATGTAAATGTTTACATCTAATAAAATCAGCATTGGATGAAAGAAAAATAAGATGAAGAAATGCTACATTCTAAATATAGACGATTTTTGAAAAAACTTGGTTTCCTTTAGACATGAAATATTAGAATTTATATACTGTCTTAATCATCTTCTCGTCAAATGACCTTAAAAGGGTCATTTTACTTCAGCGACTATATTTATCACGCATTTAAACAATAAGAATTCATTTATGTTTCGTCAAGAATGGCAGAATACTATTCCATTAATTTGACAACCCATCGCTTTAAAACAGTAATTCAGTTCAGTCGCAGTTGCTGGATTTCATGAACTCAATATCCTATGTCTCAAAATTAAACCATTCGGAACTGTTACATTACATGTTTATTATTATTATTATTTTTAATTTTTATTATATACATCAGAAAAAAACTACTTTTAATTATTTAAAATGAAAAGTTTATTTTGTTCTTAATGCTAATGATTCGTGTTTCACAGTACTTAATTGGTTTTCCAGTAAAGACATTTTCGGTGGTCTTAGAATAGTTTCATTTTTAAACTATATGCATGATTATATAACTTTGTTTTCCAGATGTTTTACATATATGGTATAATATTTATGTACATTTAAATGGATTGCTTTCATTCCGCTTCCACGTATTTTTCCTTTCTGCAGTACCGTCGATAAGTAATAAACTAACTTACGTCCGAGGCAAAAACAACCATACTGTAATAAATTGTTTTCGTAATACAGGTATTGGGCAGCATAGAAGCCACATATTTATGGCAACCACTCCTGCATTACGAATAGCGTTAACTCATCTTATTTTGCCAGAGTTATGTCTGACCTCGGAGACATTACATCTTAAGGTATTTAGACTGGCATGAAAAAAACAGCTATTTACAGACCGTTCATGCGGAAGATGTTGCTGCCAGTGTTTACTACAATACGATCAGAAAATTCCACCAATACAGGTGTACACATCCCAAATGCAAGAATGATTTCAATTGTTCTTGTTTTGTTACTTACATTATGTGAGTATGTGTGTTCAGGGTGGGGTGGGGTAGGGTGGGGTGGGGTGGGGTGGGTGTGGGGGGGGGGGGCTAGCTACCATTTCACTAAATGCCCCTGCTTTATAGCAGTGAAAGGAACAGCAAAATAGATTTAAGGTTATGTCCCCGTTCCCCCTTTACGGCTGGCCAGTAACTTTTTTATGAAGAAAAGTAAAAGACAGGGACCTCTGGGGCTGAAAAAGCCCCCCCTCCCATTCTGGAGGTCTGGCGGGGGTGGGGGGGGGGGTTCAGTAGCACAGTTTCAGTTTCAGGTCTTCTCTGGTCAGGTCAGTTACATTTCAGAAGATGACCTCCGCTGAGTCTTATACAAAGACGAGCAGCAAGAAATACACCTTAATTTACACGAATGAAATGTTATATAGAAATGTCATGTTAGGCACTGGAACATAACAGATTTTTTTGTGGTATAGACATACTGCACAGGCACTCTTGGGAGTGTAGAGCATGTCACTGCACAGGCAGTTTTGGGAGTGTAGAACATGTCACTGCACAGGTGCTTCTGGGAGTGCCTGGCATTTCACTGCACAGGCGCTCTCGGGAGTGTAGTATATGTCACTGCACAGGCGCTCTCGGGAGTGTAGTATATGTCACTGGACAGGC